GCTCAGCACACCCTCCCCCCGCCTCTCCCAAGAAAGCAGAGCAGGACATTGAGCTGTGGAAGAAACAAGAAGCCGCGGCCAAAGAGGCAGAATCCAGCCCCCCCGGCAGCGAGGACCAGCCCGAGGTGAAGGTGCCCCACATGTCCCTCTGTCCTGGTGGGGCAGCTCTGCTCCAGCCCTGAGCGGGTTGCATGGTGGGGAAGGGCAAAGCAGGTCCTGGTGGGGGAGATCTGGGCGGGGGTTGAAGATGGAAAGCATCTTTGGGGTGCGGTCGGAGGCCACGCCGTTCACCCCGTGCTGTCCCCAACCGCAGTTGCCCATCCAGAAAGCCAAGCGGCAGCAGATGGACATGATCGCCGAGCTGAAGAAGAAGCAGATGGTGAAGGAGCCGCTCATCTATGAAGGAAAAGACGGGGCCATCGAGGATATTATTTCAGGTGAGAGATTATTTCAGGTGAGCGGCCGGGCATCCCCCCTGCAGCAGACCCAGCGCTCGGTGCCAGCGGGGAGACCCTCGGTGATGGGGGGCTGCAGGGGGCTGTCACAGCCTGGAGCTGGAGGGTCACCAAGCCCCATCGTGGGGACCAAACCCACCTGTAGCACCTTCCCGTCCCACGCGGCAAAGCTGCCAAGCGCTCTCTGCCCTGTCTCATAGCTCTTCCTCCTCTTCTGCTTCTTCCTCCTCTCTCCTCCTCCTTGCTGTCTCTCTGGATTGCTCTGCTCAGCTCTGAAAACTGTTCCTTTCACGGCCCGGACGGGCAAGCGCTCGTCCCGGCTCTTCTGCGACATGAGCTTCAACGAGGAGAGTCCTCTGTAGGTAACGTGGGGGCAGCCAGGCTCGGGCACAGCGCAGGCAGGGGCTGCCAGACTTTGCCACCCTCCTGGGCTTCTCGGCCCATCGTCACCTCTGGCTGCGTGGCAGACTGGCTGGCCTCCGCCCCATGCTGAAAGCCAACCCCAGGGGCACCACGGCATCAACCCCAGCCCCACGGTACGGTGCTGGGCACCGAAAGAGCCGAGGGAGGGGGTCCCGCAGGCTGGTTGTTTGTAGCTGCTGCGCCTGTCTCTGCGTGCAGCGGGGCAGGCTTCTCCCGAGCATCCTCGTAACCCCGAAAGGGTGACTCCTGGGTGGTGGTGGGTGACTGGGTCCCAGCCTTTGCCGGGGTGGGCAGGTGGAGCTCAGCCAGCCTCTGCACTTTCTCCCGGTGCAGATCTGCGGAACAACCCTTACCGGCGTGCAGACAAGGGCCGCGGCAGTGCCAAGAAACGAGCTGCGGGGCAGAACCAGCAGGCGACGCCGGACATCTCGCTGTGACCGGTGCCGTCCCTGCAGCTGCCAGGACCGGGGCAGGACCATCCTCCCGACGCAGATGGGACTGCAGGACATCAACCTGCCAGCCCGGGACAACGCGGGGCGGAGGGACAGTGCCCGCTCCTAGCTGCTCCAGCCGCTTAGCGTGCCAGCTCCCACCCTGCATGCCCTTGGGTCCGGCGCAGGGATCCCCCGGCGCTTGCTTAGCGATGCCTCTGAGCTCCTCTCCTCCAGGCTGGCAGGGCTGGGGGACCCTCCTGGGTATGGGCAGGGAGGGGGGAGCACAGAAAGGGCCCCAACTTGTCCTGGAAGGAAGAGAGGGGCTGCTCCATCCCTACCCCATAGCTGCTCCATTGCACGCCTGTCTCAGGGTCAGCCCTGGGCACTGGTGTGCCCCCCTCTTCAGCTTGCTGGTGCCTTTGATTTCCCGCTGCAGGAGGGGAGGAGGGTTGTGAGCCAGGGACGCAGCCGTCCCTGCACATCTCCCCCGCCTCCCCCAGCCCTTTGAGACCCATGTTCTCCTCTGCTGCAGAGCCGAGCAGGCACGGGCTGTGCCTCCTCTCCAGCGAGGAGCCTGCTGCAAAGATCCCACCCTGGGCACTTCCCGTACCCCAGGAGCTGGCAGGGGTGCTATTTTACACGTCTTCCTTAAAATTTCTCTGTGCTATGGGAGCAGAGACTGGGACACCCGTACGCAGGGTCTCACCAGGATCCCAAGGCTGCGGTGAGCAGCACTGGGCTGTTCCTCGCTGCAGGGGAGGCTCCGTAGCTACGACAATCAGCAGCAGGGGCAAGGATTTACTGTCCTCAAGTCTCTGCTGGGTGGTACCTAGCTCTGCCCTCCTGCATCCCTGACATCTTGCCTCTGCTGTCGGGGCTGGAGCCTCTCAGAGGCAACAGTGACCATCAGCCCTCGGGGAGCACGAGGCTGCTCCCCATTAGCCGGCAGTTGCAGGATGCAACATGCAGCAGGCGCTAGGCAGCCTCCAGCCCCTGCAGCAAACACCACGATCCCAAAACGCTGCAGGGTCACGGCTGAAATCACACAGGAGAAAGAGGCCAGAGAGCTGCACAAGCCTCCAAATAAAGCACTGGACTTGATTCCTCCCCTGCCCTGCTGCTGATGAGTAAATCCAAACCATGCACTGTCGCAATTAACCTGTTAATGCATTTACTTCGTTAAACGGCCCCTGCTCACCCTGCTGCGAGGACGCGTGGCTGCCGTGTACATTATCGCTAGCCCCAGCTTTTAGACCAGGCTGAGTCCTCGCTGTAAGCCAGAGCAGCGACCGCTTCCCGCTGTAATTAAGATGCCAAGCGCCAACCGGCTCAGTATCAAAGTATCCCGGCTCAAAGGGGAGGGAAGGGAAATGAATGTGTAACTTATAAATGCCTTTAAGCCAGAAATGTAAAACATTAACTGCTAATTTGTATACATTATTTTTATATACTGAAGGCCTGTTTAATCTAAAGCAGAACTGGTAATAAAATGACTCTAAGGATAAAGCACTTGTCCGTGAGAAGGGGTGAAGCTTTGCAGGGCGGGCGATGCTGCAATGGAGGGAGGGAGGGCGGGATGGATGGAGGGATGCACCAGCTCCTGCTCGTTGCTCTGCTAACAATGCGTGACCTCCTGTGTAAGGAACTGCTGCCAGGAGCGGTGACCATGCTCCTTTGAACATTTTTAAGTGGGAGATGTATTTCTGACTTGCCCATGACTGCAGCTGGGGGTAGGGAAACTTCAAGGCTCCGCTCAGCCCTGCAGCTCCTTCCAGGACTGGCAGCCTCTAGGCAGACGTGATCTAATGGGTAAGAATGTGAGGAATAAGAGTGCCACAGGACAACAGAAGGGAAAAGCAGGACTTGTGGCTCTCCCAAGGGGCAGTCCCGCTTCCTACCACACACGTGTCCCTGAGGAGGCTACCAGACCCCAGGCACCTGCACAGACACGTACCCATCTCTGCTGGGCTACCTGGGCGAGGAGGCCACGGCTTCTGCCATCCACAGCGTGGAGGAGCAGACGGCTCAGGGAGAGGCTAAGTCCAGCACAAAGGTCCAGGGCAAAGGCCCAACACAAGCTATTTTACGCTGCTTCTCAGTTGGGCTGTCCTCAGAGACAAGAGGTGGTCTAGTGCTTCCCTAAGCTGATCTGTATCTTTACAGGGAAGTCCAGCGACAAAACACCCACCTTACTCTGGGGACAACTGATCTGACTTCTGTGTTCACAGTACAAACACAGGTATGTGATAGCAACGCCCCCCCAACTTCAATTTGGGGTTCATGTTTCAAGACACCTGACCTCACTCGCTCACTGGCAATGCCACCAGCACACCTCCAGTCCACTGCGCTGATTGAACAGAAACGCACCACCTAAGTGGAGACAAACGGCTCCTGCACCAACAGCCGGCAGAAGCACTTGCTGAAAGGTGTGGGCGAACCTCCGGAGCTCTGCCTGCCTAACCTGGTACCTCTGGATCCCAGACCTACTTCTCCACTATCGAGGGGAAGGCTCAGCAGCTCTCAGTACAGCGAATCCCCCTGCCTGCAATGGGACAGGAGGAGGAAAAAGGACCATCTACTTGGAAATAGAGAGAGATGCCAGTATATTTAGCAAATCCTGTGCTCAGATCCATCAGAGTTATTGCTGCCTCTTCATACCCAGAAATGACTTCTCCCTGCATCCCCCAAAAACTAGGGTAACACATCGCAGAGTTTAATCAGACCAGGCTCCCCTTCTTGAGAAATGTCTTATTCAGCATCATTGTCTTGTTCTCTGGGACAACATATCAAACCACTAGCAATGAGAATGAAGAATCTTTTTCTCCAGCTTTATTTTTTTCCCTGTGAAAATGCAGGTCAAAATATTAATTTCAAGAAATCACAGTTTTATAAAGTGTCATTCATTCAGTACAAGCTAGTCATTCCATCGTCTTCACCCACGCCAGTACTGCCCATCCCAAAGAGATTATCAGCTTCACACTGCTTTGCCAACAGTGATTTTTCCAGACTTTAGGAAGGAGCTACATGACCAGAGCCATCTGTGTTTATCACTCCTACTGCTATTTGTCCTCCCTACCCTGAACTGGGGCTCTGTCCTAAAGACTAGTTATGTTATTACACACAGTTTCAGCCAAATTTTAACATGGATAACGAAAAGCTTTCCTGACTTTCTCTTCTTTCAGTATTGCACAGCCAGCCTTCATCTGGAAGCTGGACTTTTTATGCCTGTTACAGCAATAATGACCAGCCAAATTAAGAAGAAACTGTCCTGGCAGCAGAGGAGAGTCAAGGAGATCCCAAGCTGGTAGGTAGCAAAAACATGAAAACCCTGGAGATACTCCTGAGAGCAGAACCACATTTCAGGACAGTAGGAAAGCACCAGTGGTTTGTGGTATTTGCCAAAGCGTCTTTCCCATCTGGCAGGGACTGCTGACACCTCAGCCTGCTTGTCTGGCCGGCTGTCACGTAACAGATTTGTTAGGTAGAAATCTGCAGCCTCACTTTCTCACTTGAGGTGGCAGCAAAATAGGACTGAAGGTTGTGGACAAAAGGAACGGGATGGAGATACTGGCTAATGCTGGTGTGAGAGTACAGGAGAACACGGACATCTCCATCTACCCAACAAAGACATTCTGGGTTCGCAAGGGTTTACTGCCTTTCACCCATTTGTGTAGGTGGCCTGAGATTAACGTTAATGCTATAGATGAAGTGTAAAGCTCAGAAGTCCTGTAAACAGAGGGCTGCTGCATCCTGCCCTGCTGCTCGGCAGAACTTGAGTCTAACACCAATGTACAAAACTGTACACCCATACATCGAAGCATTTTGCAGACAACAGTGCAAGCCACGAGATGCAGCCTTTGGGAAGGGAACAGACCATGCTTTCGTATTGACACATCACCAACAGCGATGTGTCATATTGACACATCACCAACTGACTCTTCTTAGAAACAACTAACAGGTTTTTCTCCTCCCCCCCTCAGAGGAAGCCTAGGAAGGGTGCCAGGAGTGGGGAGTTTGGTTGCTGCACCGAACATGTGCTTGGGAGCTCCTGGGAACCCTGGAGAGGCATTTTGATCCCTCCTGCTCCAGAGCCTACAATTCTTAGCAGTTTACGGCATCTGAAAAAAAGAAATCGAGCCAACCTACCCACTCCCCCCACTCCTTCCTGGAAGAGATGTGCGTAATGTGTTAATTGTTTACTAAAAAGACTCTTAATGTGGCATTTCATATATAATTAGGTATCTGTTTTGGACAATGTATTAAGTGCTTTAGAACAAAAAGTGCTATAAAAACTATATCCATAGCTGTGACAGGTTTCATTTTTCTTCAAGAGTTCCACTTTTTTATTGCATCACTACTTTAGTTTTCTGATTAGGGATGTCACTGCCTAGTGTATCAAAACCAGCCG